GCTGTCGATCTTGAAGTAGTTTTCAAGTGCTTGAAAAGCAGACTTTGAATCACGTAAAATTATTTCTCCTGCTATGGATATTAGTGGACTGGTAGCTAGTGGCAGCGCAGCTAGTTCTTGTTGTGTAGAATTCAGCCATTTGTTTAACCTGCCACTGCTAGTTTGTGTGCAAGAATTACTTCTACAAAACCTACAAGCTGCTGCAGTCCGCCTTGTTGTTGAGTGAACTGAGCCATCGGTGTAGACAATACTAGTGAGATCTTAGGTTATAAGAGGTAGAAGAGGTAATTGTTTCAAGTATGAGAGCTTTAAGTGGAGCAAGATTCTCATTACTTTTTCTTAGTGATGGGTGTGTATAATGATTGTATGGTGGGGAACAGATACAGAGGGATATCAGGGACAGGTTTCCACTACACATAAGGGGCATAACTGGCCGACCCCTCACAGTGTTCAAGAGAGAACTGGATAAGCACCTCCAAAGGATACCTGATCAACCAGGCTGTGACTCGTACGTCAGGCTGCGAGCAGCCGCGTCCAACAGCCTGGTTGATCAGTCCGGCAACCAGGAGGCCTGGTCGACGACCGGGCCGCGGGGACGCTAAGCCCCGGAAGCACCTCAAGGTAACCTCAAGGTAACAGGTAGATTGTATTTAAAAGTTATGACCAGTTTAAGGAGATTGTATATCCACCTTTTATCATACAAGGGATGAGCTGATGCCTTATGAACAATTGCTGGTGTTGGCAAGGAAGTAAATAATTTGCCTTTGAGCAATGCAGGAGATGTTGGGTCACTCTTGTCTTTAATGCAAATGGTCATGTTGGCCTGCATGTTTCTCTAAAGAGTGGCTGAAAGCTTCAGTTCTTCATGTTAATGGTTCATGTGCATCTTGAGACACCAAGAATCACCCTCATAGCTTCAGTGCCTATTTTCTCTAATTGCAAAATAGAGGTGAAGTTAATTAGATATTAGGCATGATAATCAACTAGGAATATTATAAACATTATGTAAAATTGTTTGCCATATTTAACATTGATTCCAATATTCTTACCAGTAGGTAATTTTAGTGGTTTAGGTCTTTCTTCTAACCTATGATGGTTACATCATAGGTTAGATCATCATGATGTCGTTTCCAGCGTTACTGTTGGTACCTACTCCAAGGTATTTGTTCTGCCCATGTGTCAATGGTTTGGTTGAGGACCTTGAAAGCAAAAGGGACATTTGTTCTTTTGTGGGGATGAAGAACTCTGGATTTGAACCCGGGATCACAGGATCACGCGTGATCCTGTGGTCCCGGATTCGATCCCGGGCACCGGCGAGAGACAATGGGGAGAGTTTCTTTCACCCTGATGCCCCTGTTACCTAGCAGTAAATAGGTACCTGGGAGTAAGTCAGCTGTCACGGGCTGCTTCCTGGGGGTGGAGGCCTGGTCGAGGACCGGGCCGCGGGGACACTAAGCCCCGATATCATCTCAAGATAACCTCAAGATGGGTATTATGAGTCCATGTGTCCAGCGGTCAGGTGAGACACCCAGCCTCTGGCTTCAGTGAAACAGTTCTAGCAGAGGACTGTTTGGCAGGTCAGCCAGTACTCTCGTGGTGTTATGTGTCATGTCGCCCTCTCCAGGAGAGACCCATGCAAACACACAACCTAACTGGCCTTATTTTCCGCTTGTTACAACTTGTAATAAAGTTGTTACATCTTGTTGTAATGTGTTTATGACGAATTAGAATGTAGTTACAACTTGCTATATTGGTTGTTACAGCTTGTTAGGAGCCGGTCGTCTTACCTTTCTTGAGTGAATTAGTTATTTTATAGGAAGTTATGCCATAGTTACCTCTAGTTGACATAGTTATATAGCCATAGTTACCCCTAGTTTATATATAGCCATAGTTACCCCTAGTTTATATATAGCCATAGTTACCATCTGGATACATTTCGCTACAGGCAATTTCAATGGTGAATTTACTACTACTGTATTGTACTAGCAAGATGGAGTATATCCAAGGGTATGTTCGGTATACTGGCAGTGCTTGTATATTGTTCCAGCAACATATCGGCGTATTCTGTATCTGAAGAATATAATGAACAAATCGTAAAACCTTATAGACGTCAGACCCATAAAAAAAAACTTTATAAACTTTATAAAACTTTATTTTTTTTATGAGGTTGGATGTAAAACTTGTATGTTCGGGCTCCGAACATAACATATCCCCGGAGTGAAGACATGGAGGGAAGGGCCAACCCCGATCCCCATTCACCGTCCCCTTACACACACCAGTCACCCTGCATAGTTTGGTGAGACTAGCCCCAAGCCTCTACCCTCCAACTTTGGACAGACAAACAGATATCTTCTTTTATAAATGTATATAATGAACAGTTGAACCAGCTTGGGGGATAAATAAAGCCATACTGACAACATTTCGAATAATCTATTATCATTTTGAGTGGTTAAGCAGAAGAAAAAAAAGAGTAACAATTAATGATAGGTGGCATACACAATTATTTGGCATACATTTAAGTAATTTACACATTTACAATTAAATAATTATAATTAACAAAATAATTATAACAAGCATATATATATATATATATATATGAATTTAAGTCCTAACAAAATATTAAAGTGTTTATTAAACAGAGAACAAAAATCTATGCTAAAAGTACTACAATTCAAAACAACAAATTGCTTGGAGAGTGGTGACTCCCTACAGTCCTGGAAGGCTCGTATCGTAATGTATAAAGTGGCTGAGCCCTTGACAGTTCCACGTGTGAGGACCTGATGATCAGTATTGTGAAGTGAGCGTCACATATCGGGCGGTTCAGGCCACGTGTTCCCCTAGTGCCTGAGAACATTGGTTCGGTCAACAGCTGTCAAGGGGTGAGAGGTCTGCCTGAGTGTCCTGCAGCTCGTGACCAGAATTGCGTTGTTGTCTTGACAATGAGCCGAGATTGATGATTGATGGAAGATTAAGCTATCATAAGCGGTGGTGGTAAGGGCATGAGTACCCCGGAGGTGGTAGATGTTTGGATAGCAACCCGTTCACGACTCAAGTCCATTACATTCAGCGGTCGACCCCAGAGACGCATTCATAAATTTTAACATGCTGTTCATTCAAAACTGGAATTTTCTCAAATATAAATTAATATCATAATATATTAGCATATTGTGTATATATAGGCATAAGTTAGGTCAGGTGTTTAGGTTCTGTTGGCGATTATTTGTAATTGTAGTACGTGGGTGAAGCATTTACAGCGTTGTGGTTCGAACAAAAATCGTCAGTGAAACACTTGTTCCGGAAGTGTTCGAACGTCAGCAGTTGTGAGTCTTGTGTAAACCGCTTTTATTCATAAACAGGGGGGTTGGCGGGTGCATGGAATCACTTTTGGGTCTTTGGAGGACGGGCTGTTGTTTGGAGGACGGGCTGTTGGAGTGAATGTGCTCTAGGGTCGTGAAGAGCCGGAACCACGTCTATTCTGTATTATATTTGGCCCTAGTGAGGCGAAGCCTTGTTGATAACGTCACTCTCGCAGCTCCAATTGCAAGCCATGTTGCACGATGTGTTGACATGAGGCGCGTCGCGCAGAAATATATATATTTATCCCATATATTATTGTTATTTCTCGACCTTTTTGATTTGTGTATGTTAAATGATGGTAGGTTGACCCTGGTATCGGGCACCGGGTCAGGGCAAGCAGCAGGTGCCCAAAACACTTGCTTGACCCGGGCTCCCAACACTTAAATGACACAACCGTCTGGGGGTCGAAACCCTCACCTTGTAAACTGTCAGATGACAGACCAGCCGTAACACTATATTTAAACCTATTTTTTTAGTTTATTATTTAAACTTTAAGATAATCTATGGACCAACGTGCTGATAAAATTCTCAAAGTAACTTATACAAATTATTTTAATAATTTAACATATGCTGCCGAAATAATGGTCAAGCAACTTGCAAAGATACCTGGTTGATGGGGTTCTGGGAGTTCTTCTACTCCCCCAAGCCCGGCCCGAGGCCAGGCTTGACCTGAAGCTTGTTCAACTGTTACAACTTGTGGTCGTACCACTATAAGGACTTAGAGTCAATAATTAGTCAGTCACACGCCAGAAAATAGAACAAAAAACGACTTCTGGGTCCATCCTCGACCATTATCCAACCCGTTCTCGCACTTTCTTACAGTCAATATTGACTTATTAAATACGTGCAAGTGAATATTTTAGTTTACCTTGAAAAGCTTCATAGAAAACACCGACCTTATCTAACCTTCTTAGTATGTTAAGATAAGCATCTTATTACTTCATAATTACAATTATTACTTAACCTATACCTATAATAGGTTAAGTAATAATTGTAATTACGAAGTAATAAGATGCTTATCTTAACATACTAAGAAGGTTAGGTAAGGTCGGTGTTTTCTATGAAGCTTTTCAAGGTAAACTAAAATATTCACATGCACGTATTTAATAAGTCAATATTGACTATACAAAAGTGCGAGAACGGGTTGCATTATCAAGTCGAGTAATTTTAGTCAATTACTTATCTCCATATGTATTAAAGAATTGAGTTAGGAAATCATTTAATCCGAGAGTAATTTTGAAAGATTATTCACTATGAAGAGCAATATGTTACTGGAACAAACATCTTGCCACAAGGGATTTAGTTATATTGTTTTTATATTGGACAATCAGTTATGATTGGTGGAGATGTTTTCTCCGGGGATAAAAGATGTTTTAGGACACGTAGTTAAGAATCACAACAAAAAGTAAACTAGAAACTTGTCTGGAGACCTTGTGAGATCTTGCGCATGTTGCCAAGATGTGACCTTCCTTGACACGAGATCCCGTCACACTTGGGTCAGCTGTGTGGCTGGCAGGTGGACTTGGGTCACCTGTGTGGCTGGCAGGTGGACTTGGGTCAGCTGTGTGGCTGGCAGGTGGACTTGGGTCAGCTGTGTGGCTGGCAGGTGGACTTGGGTCACCTGTGTGGCTGGCAGGTGGACTTGGGTCAGCTGTGTGGCTGGCAGGTGGACTTGGGTCAGCTGTGTGGCTGGCAGGTGGACTTGGGTCAGCTGTGTGGCTAGCAGGTGGACTTGGGTCAGCTGTGTGGCTGGCAGGTGGACTTGGGTCAGCTATGTGGCTGGCAGGTGGACTTGGATCACCTGGTGTGGCTGGCAGGTGGACTTGGATCACCTGGTGTGGCTGGAAGTGACTGAGAGGCCATCACGTACGAGGCCGTCCACCAGGAACTGAGACATCTTAACATCTGGTGATCTGACGGTAGTTGAGACAGAAGCCGTAGTTGTTCCCATCACCTTCCTCATCCTCGTTTTGGTGAACGTAGAGGTTAAAAGGCTTGAGCGTGGCTGCAATAAGGACAAAGGTAAATCAGATGAAACAATGAAGGTTTGGACGATACTTACACGACTGGAACATGTTCACGCAGGGACTTAGTGTGGGATAATATAAGCTGTGGTTTACTGAGATGATTCCCAGTGCTGAGGAAGTGTGAAGAGGGAGAGATGGAGGTGTGATGTCTGTGTGTTACTGAGGAAGTCTTGATTGTAGGGTTGATGTAAAGCCATTGCTTGGTTGAGAAGAGAGCAATGAGTGAGAGAGAGAGAGAGAGAGAGAGAGAGAGAGAGAGAGAGAGAGAGAGAGAGAGAGAGAGAGAGAGAGAGAGAGAGAGAGAGAGATAAAGAGCGCAAGGAGAGTCAGGTTATGAGAGGGTAACACTTCAGATAGGTCAATCACATCAAACAAAAATGACCAATATATTATCCCATTTAAGGTTGCCAGCGGTCAGACAATGGCAGTGTGTTTGCAAATAAGGCAGACGAGGCTTATGCAACATACAACAAACATCACACAAATGAATGACGAACGTCAAGAAATGGTAAAGTCGAAAACATAGTTTGAGAGGAATGACGTTAAGGAAATTATGAGAAGGGCTAAGCCAGGATGATTGTGATTCAGGCGGACGTGAGCGATTGAGGGATATAAGTTTCGACTGGCAGCAAGGGATAGATGGACTGGCAGACAGCACAAAGTGAAGGGCCCTTGCCCTGTCACCTGGGGTAAAGGGTGACAGGAAGCGTCTCAGGGAATGCTGCTTCAGGGTGGCCACTCAGATGCCCTGAGTGACACTCCCGTCAACTTGGCATCTGGCGTCTTGGAGGTGCCAACCGCCACAGAGCCTTACTCGTAAACTACAGAGTTTGGGGATTACAGGTAACAGAGCCGGGAAACTTACATTGGACGGAGGTGGGGAAGCCAAGGCCACAGTAGCGATCGTTGGGGACGCCAGGGTCGACCAAATCATCGACCAAACCGTAGGCCACACCTCCGGGGATTATGACGTAGTCTGTGGTACATGCATCGCCAAAGGACGCACCTGCCGGTGTACCTGAAGATGGGACAAAGACAGACACATGAGACAGTGACGAAACATTGTGGCATCAATGTCACGGTCAATAATCACGGTATTTGTTGTCCCCCGGCGTCACCTGTGACTGCCTGTGTTTTGGGTAATATATTATGATTTACAGCATCACTACACACGACCTGCATTGCTGGAATGACCGTCTTTACTACACAAACTATCTTCGTCAGTAATCTTTGACCACCTCCCCCTCTCCTACACCACCTCCCCCTCTCCTTCACCACCTCCCCCTCTCCTTCACCAACCTGAATGAAACTAAGTGAAGATTTTGAATCTGGTTATATAGCGAAATTAAAAGTTGGAATCAAGGGATCTAACACAGGGGGTCAACCTCGACCCCACTATGACCCCAACAACCATCAGGCACCCGGTAAAATTTAGTGAGGCTAGCCATAAGCGTCTAGTTACTTATGATGCACAGAGACATTCTTATTTGTAGATACAGATGCTATGACAACTGTAGCTGTACTTGTTAAGGTCTTTGTATTTTGCTAGGCAAGTTGTTAATTGAAAAGTGAGACAACTTCCTGGATCCATGACTGGAATCTTTTGACGATATATGGGGGGAAGAAGAAGTAACTATCAGGAGAAAGCGCCATGCCTTTACGACTATATAGCACTTGAAAGTGGTCAGGATAATGATTTGGGATTGGATGGGGGGGGGGAGAATGGTGCCCAACCACTTAGACGGTTGGGAATTAAACGCCGACCTGCATGAAGAGCGAGACCGTTGTTCTACCGTCCATCCCAAGTGGTTGGACACCACGTTATGGGGGAGGAGGTCCACTAGGACTACTGGAGGACTATTTACTGCCACAATAAGTGCCTCATCCTTAAATGAAGTGAAGCTAAGTGCCTGTTATGTGCACTCAAGCTGCGTACTGTTTGATGTACCCTAAGACATATCCACTTACCAATCAGACTAGCATCAATACCGTCAGTGTTGCCACTGACGGTGAAGCTGGTGTTGCCACTGGTGGTGTTACGTTCCCAGATGATGCCACAGTAGCCGTCCGCCATCTCCACGCACACACCGTAGTCCAGGTCGGCGATCTGACTCTGTTCTGAGTAAACAATTTGAAACATTTTATTAGTTTGGTTAATATGGCGGAAATTACAACAGCTTTCATATAATCAACCAACATTCAAAGAGCCTTTCAACTCCAAAAGTCTAGTGGTATAGTTGGCTTCGTTCTCGACACATAATCGGGGATCCTGGGTTCAATTCTCGGGAGGGACGTAAATGGTTGGGCATGTTTCACCTCACCAAATGCCTCTGTTCGTCCAGCAGTAACTAGGTACCCGGGAGCTTGGCAACTGTTGTTGGGTTTTATGTTGGGTGAAATCAGTAGGGAATGTCGGAGTTGTGTCTGCAGTAATGGGAGCCGGTGGCTGAGCAGACAGAACACTGGACGCGTGATCTTGTTGTCCCGGGTTCGATCCCGGGCGCCGGAAAGAAACAATGGGTAGAGTTTCTTTCAACCTGATGCCCTTGTTACCTAGCAGTAAATAGGTACCTGGGAGTTAGTCAGCTGTCATGGGCTGCTTTCTGGGGGTGGGGGCCTGGTCAAGGACCGGGCCGCGGGGACACTAAGCACCGAAATCATCTCAAGATAACCTCAAGATGGTGTGTTGGGTAGGCCGTTTGGATTGGATCGTTCGGTTTGGCTGGGCTATCCTCTGTCGATGGGTGTATATATCCTGTTTCAGAAACCTCTGTATCATATGTCTTAGGCTCATCCCTGATTGATGCCTCGAAGACTCTTGCAGATGATGCCACTGATTGTGTTGCCTCTGACACGTGGGTGTTGCGCAGAGACTAGCAAGTGTTCCAGGATTTTGAAGAGGCTACCGGGACTCTTGTTAGTAGAGGGAGGTGTTTAAGGCGGCTTTGGAGCTGGACTTCCAGGCCGTTATAGCCAGTGTCCTGGCTCCGATTGGCGGTGCAGATGGCCTTGTAAACTCTTGGTGTTACCTGTGTCCCTTCGTACGCTTCTTCTTTAGCCTGGAATTGTGATGTCTGTCTTTCGGTGGCTATGTCCACGGGAATGTCATCAACCAGGGATCTGACTATCAGAGGGCGTTAATTGTCAATTGTAAAATGTTGTCAAAAGTTTATAGTCCGTAGCCCACTGGTTTTCTTTGAGCAGGAAAGTTTCGTTGGTTTTTACGAGATCAGTCCATTGCAAGGTGTGGTGTGGTCAGTGTCAAGGGGTCCCGCGCTTGTCACTATGGGCGGGGAAGGGGGAGAGTGGGATTGGTCTCACTGACGTGTATAGTACACGGATGGCCATTATTTTGCCAACGTTTCGGAAAGAGTTGTTGTCGCAAGAGCTCGTTGCTTCGTTTGTATTGTTTTGTTATTGTTTTTTGGCTTGATTTAAGGGTATGTGATGACCTTGTGTTTGTCTCTTCCCCTTGTTATTCAGCAGTAGTGGAGGTCGTGCGGAGGGTGTGGCAGGTTGGGGGTTGTGTTAATTTGTCTTGTAGAGGCTTGTATTGGGTAATGTTTTGTCCCGTAGTCCCATTGTGTGGAGGGGCCGTATCTTTCTCTGGACTGGGAGGCGGCGGGGAGTGACCTCCATGCGCGATATCTGGAATGGTCGTTGCATGTACAGGACCAAAAGACACCTGTAGTTCCTCTTCAGGTATTTGCATGATATCTCTGTCAACGAACTCCTGTCTACTTTTATTGAGGGATGGAGGAGTCGAACAACTGCTTCTTCTATGTGGAGCACGAGACTCAATTGATTGTGTTTATTTCTGTCGACGAACTGTTTGTGTTTATTTCTGTCAACGAACTGTTTGTGTTTATTTCTGTCAACGAACTGTTTGTGTTTATTTCTGTCGACGAACTGTTTGTGTTTATTTCTGTCGACGAACTGCTTGTGTTTATTTCTGTCGACGAACTGCTTGTGTTTATTTCTGTCGACGAACTGCTTGTGTTTATTTCTGTCGACGAACTGCTTGTGTTTATTTCTGTCGACGAACTGCTTGTGTTTATTTCTGTCGACGAACTGGTGCTGTTTTGAGTTGGCTCCGTAGGTGTAGTGTTGCTGTGTGTGGTACCGACCTTCACTTGAATCTTAAGCTGGTTTTGCTGTTTTCCTTTCAGGTGAGCGATCGGAGGATCCGGAACACATTGACTGTGTTACTTGTTGATTATATTTACTGTGTGTGAACAGGAAGGCTGAAGAGGTATCCAGTGGCTCAGGTGTTTGGGTTCTTGCAGGGAAGACTCCGCTTGTACGCTCTAGTGGATTCGCCATATATTTTATCTCTGAACTGCGTCAGTTTAGCGAGGAAAAACCCACAACGCACCTGATAAACCCTCCCAGCTGCTGTCGAGTGAAAAGGACAGGTAGACTGTCCCTCTCACAGGTAGAATGTCCCTCTCACAGGTAGACTGTCCTTCTCACTACACACAGTTGGGAGATTGTCCCTCTCACTACACCCACCTGATAAACCGTCCCAGCTGCGGGTACCACAACTCACCCGACAAACCCTGGGAACCAGCTGCGGGTGCAATAACCTACCTTCCATTGACGCAGAATTAACAGAGCCGGCGAAGTTAAAGCTGTAGACAGTGCCCGAAGTCGCTGTGTAGTACTGCAGACATCCGCTAGGGGCTGCACGCCGTCCACAACACAAAATGAAAACTGTTAATTCACAACGTTTCTGTGAGTACAGTGGTGTTCAGGGGACCAGGAGCATAGATGACCAGGAGCGTAGGTGAGGCTAAGTGTTGGTTTGTGTGAAGCAAGAAGAGCCCTGCGTGTTGAGGTCAGGACCTGAGGGTGTGGGCGGTGAAGAAGGCCGGGGAGCGCAAGAGTCAGTGAGGGAAGAAAAGGACAGTTTGATTGAAGATTAAGCCACCTAAGAGGTGGCACGGGCACGAATAACCTCTTAAAAAGGACAGTGGCAGGAGCGAGTTAAAAAGGGGGAAGCTGGTGAGCGGAAAAAAGGATTAAAGGAGACGTGAATATAAGTGACGGGGAATGGGAAGGAAGAGTTGAAAGGTATGGTTGAGATCATGGGGGGTCAAGGAAAGAGGGCGGTGGGTATATGGGGAGGAAAAGGCAATGTAGTCGGTGGGCAGATCTGGAGGAGAGTGGTGATGGGTAAGGAGGGAGGAGAGTAGGTAAGACTGGGTTCAGGCCGCGATTTTGCTGCAGGAGTACACCACTGAAGGAGTACACCACCACTGGGCAAGGAAAGACAAGATTAAAGCAGCAGCACAAGAAGAGGAGGAGGGAAGGTGAAGAACGAGAGGCACAAACATTGGCGAATAAACTGATTTCCGTTATAAAAAAGGTTAAATTAGTCAGATATTTGCAGTGACAGCTGAAAAGACATGTGTGTATTAATAAAATTGTTCCCCTCTGTGGTGCCTCCTTGCCGTGGTGAGGGGCTCATGTACACCTCCCTGGGACTGGTGTAGGTTGCCTGTGCCCCCTCTCCTGCCCCCCTCTTTGGGTGGTGTACGTGCTGAAGGGCACCATGTAGGGGCCTTGTGCAACCCGTTCTCGCAAATTCGTAAAGTCAATATTGACTTATTAACTACGTGCATAGGTGATATACTAAACATAATAGATACCCTTAAAAAGATTCATAGAAAACACCGACCTTACCTAACCTTGTTAGTATCTTAAGATAAGCATCTTATTGCTTCGTAATTACAATTATTACTTAACCTATACCTATTATAGGTTAGGTAATAATTGTAATTACGAAGCAATAAGATGCTTATCTTAACATACTAAGTAGGTTAGGTAAGGTCGGTGTTTTCTATGAATCTTTTTAAGGGTATCTATTATGTTAAGTATGTCACCTATGCACATATTTAATAAGTCAATATTGACTTATTAAATTTGCGAGAACGGGTTGCCTTGTGAGCCATCGGACCACCCGCTGGAGGGGTCGCCTGTGAGAGGCCGCCCTGAGTGGATGGCTGGGTGTCCAGGCTGGGGCGATAGGGGGACTGGGGTCTTAGCACCAGTGTGGGAGAATGAACGAAGTAGTAGGACTCCGCTGTTGAAAAGGGGAAGCACCGCTGGGGACGACGCACCCTTCCTGCACTGGCCCGCGCTCGGCCTCCCTGGCTGCCCTGGTAGGTGGTATCCCTTGGTTTCAGGTCCCATCCCTTATATATTGGTTTGCTGCATGGATGACGACTTGACTTCTCTTACCCAGGCTCATGGGGTGGGCGACCAGGCCACTGAGTTGGACCGTCCTGGAAGACCGGGATCTGTAGCCCCCGCTACAGGACCTGGTTTAGGCCCAGACCGGACTCTCCCTCCCTGCTCCCCTCCCTCCTCTGTGGTTGGGTCGAGCCCCAAGCCTGCTGTGGTGACCGTCTCGTCCCCTTGCACGGCTCCATCTCTTCTTGTGACTACTGCACCTTTTGACCCGTCTCTCTCTAAGGGTTCTCATCGCCGTCCCCGCCACGGCCGCTCTCGTATGCTCCCTTCTCATCCTAATTCGTTCCATGCTTTGTTTGGTCCTGCTACGTGGACTAAGTACTTTGACCTCCAACCTTTGGATTCAACTCCTGACGATTTTCCCTTCATAGGCATCATGTCGATTCCGTGGATGCCTCTGTCACCTTCAACCCCACTCGTCTTGGTACCCGTGTTGTTGCTGCTGCTCCTCAGAATGCGGCCACCCCCTTGGCCACCTTATCCTGCCTTGGCGAGACCCCTGTTCGGGTCTCGAAGAACACTTGGTTGAATTGCCAGTGTTGGTACTGTTCTCCTCCTACACCATGTTGCGACCGGTGTTAGGGATCTCAAGGACTGCCACGAGGATATCAAGGTTATCCTCGAAGCCCAGAGTCATTATGTCCTCCAGGTGGATACATTTACTCGTCCCCCTCGTGGTCATTGCCGTCTGCCCCTTCCGGTTGTGAAGGTTACCTTTGATGGTAGGACCCTTCCGCCCTCTGTCATTCTTGCTGGTGCCAGATGCTCCGTTCAGGAGTATATTCCATCTCCTCGGCTCTGCAGTAAGTGCTGGAGGTTTGGGCATGGTGCCCTCAAATGCTAAAGTCCTGTCTCTCTCTGTCCCCTGTCTGGAGGCGAGGGTCATTCTAAGTTCGAGTGCACTTCTCCCCAGGCCCGCTGCCTCAATTGTGGTGAGGCCCACCCTACCTTCTCCCATACGTGTATTCATTACAAACTTGAGGCGGCTGTCCTCAACTTGAAGCACTGGGACCGTTGTCTTTTCCTGAGGCTCGGTGCAAAGTTCATCGTCTCCCCGCTTTCGCTAGTGTCTCCTATGCTCACGTGGTGCGCTCTTCCTCTCTTCGTCCTTCCCGCCTTCCTCAGTCTCGCAACCGTTTCCAAGCCTTAGACCCGGACACGCCCACCACCTCCCCTGTTTTCCTCCGTTCTGTCCCCTAAGAGTCCCCCTCCTGGTTCTCTGTCTAGGGCTCCCCTTCTTTCTACCCAGTCTATCACGTCTCCTGTGTCTTCTTTTTCCTCTCCCTCTGGTCCTCCTTCCCGTCATTCTCCTCCGTCTCTTGGCTCTCCACGCCGCCTGACTCTGCGGGCCGATGTCCATCGCTCTCCTGATGGTCATGTTGTTCGCTCTCGCTCTTCTTCTCCTATCGAGATGCTCGAGTCTGTTGCCCAGTACATTGCTGCTGGGATGCCTGTATCTTTGAGTCAGAAGCGGAAACCTCCTTCCTCCTCCCCAGTCGGTAAGAAGGCTTCGCTTTCTTCTTCACCCCCTATCTCTGATTCTATCGTTCCTTCCCCTCCCGCTTCGGTGGTGGAGCCCCCTGTTCCTACTGTGGGGGTTTCTTTAGCCCCCGGTTCCATCTCGGTTACTGCCCTTGCTGATGTGCGCTCTCCTCTTTCTGCCCCCCCCCCCTCCTCCCCTTCCTTCTCCTCCAGACCCTGTTCGTCCACCTCTGGTCTGTCCTCCCGCTTCTTTCCCTCCTTCTTTACTCAGTTTACCCATGCCCCCTAACCCTGACTTCGCTGACCCTGTGCTTTTTTTAGTGTGCTGTGTACCTTCTTCACCTTTGTTTCTTCTTTGCTCTCTGTTGCTCTCCTCTCTCTCTTTGCTGATGTCTTTTCTTCAATGGAACATCCGTGGATTTTACGCCAATTTCCTTGACCTCCAACTTCTCATTTCACAGTTTTCGCCCCTTTGTGTCTGTCTCCAGGAGCCGATGCTTGGTGCTCGTCCTGGTCTCCTTGGCTATTCTTTCCCCCCCCCCCTCCCCGAGCGACAGCTGGGGACCATAATTCTTCTGCTTTCTTGAATTGTTCTGATGTTCCCTTTGTCTCCTTATTTTTTTCCTTGCCTCTCCACTGTTCTGCCGCCTGTGTCTTTGTGCGTAGATGGTACACGGTTTGTTCCATTTATCTCCCCCCCCCTCACTGTCCCACTTTCTCTTCCTGATCTTAAACACCACCTAGACTCCTTGCCGGAGCCTGTGCTCCTGCTGGGTGATTTCAATTGTTGTCATGCCCTTTGGGGTGATGTGCTGACAAACACCCGGGGTCGCCTCCTGGAACCTTTCATCCTCTCTTCTTCCCTGTCTCTTCTTAATTCTAGCGTCAAACAGCCTGGTTGACCAGTCCAGCAACGAGGAAGCCGGTCGACGACCGGGCTGCGGGGACGCTAAGCCCCGGAAACACTTCAAGGTAACTTCAAGGCAGTGAGTCTACTCATTTAGACTCTCGGACTCGCTCTCTTTCTTGTCTCGATCTTTCTCTGTGCTCTGTGCTCGTCATCCCTTTCCTTAGATTTCGGGTGTCGGGTCCTTGATGACCTCCATGGCAGTGACCATTTTCCTATCCTTGTTACTTTTTTCTCTTTTCGCCCTCCTCTCTCCTTCCCTAGGTGGCGGTTTGCCGAGGCTGACTGGCGCCTCTTTACTCTCCATGCTACTATTTCCGACCTCTCCATTCTGCCTCTCCCTCGCGCCCTCCTTCTTTTTCATGACACTGTCTTTGACGCTGCCCTCCACTCTATTCCTAGCTCTTCCTCTCGGGGAACGCGGAAGTGCGTTCCCTGGTGGAATGTTGACTGTGCTCAGGCTGTCTGCTGTAAGCGTGCAGCCTGGAAGAGACATCGCCTCCGGCAGACGGTTGAGTCTTTTCTTTTATTTCGGAAGGCGAGTGCGGTGGCCCGTTGGACCATCCATGCGGTTAAACATGCTTGCTGGGCGTCTTATGTCTCCACCATTACGTCCAAAACTCCTCTCCCACTGATCTGGAAGCGTATCCGCAAGATTGCGGGTAAGTTCGTTCCCGATGTCTCACCAGTCCTTCACCTCCATGGTGCTCTTGTGGCGGACCCATTGCAGGTTGTGACTGAACTGGGTTCCCATTTTTCCTCTGTTAGTTCTGGTTCTCATCTTCCCCAATCCTTCCTTCTTTGTAAGCCTATTCTAGAATCTCATCCTAGAAATTTCTGTACTTTTCTTCATCTTCCCTATAATGATCCCTTCTCTCTCTCTGAGCTTCAGTCTGCCCTTGCCCTTTGTGGTTCTACGGCAGCGGACTCAGATGGCATTCATTATGAAATGCTTCGCCATCTCCCTCCGTGCATGTCTCAGTATTTACTGAGTCTGTACAATCGGGTCTGGGAGTCGTCGTCAGTCCCTGAAGACTGGCTCAATGCTGTTGTCCTCCCTGTTCGGAAACCAGGGTCTCTCGGGTCATCCCCCAAGGACTTCTGCCCTATTGCCCTCACGAGTTGTGTCTGCAAGCTCTTTGAATGTATGGTTAACGTTTGTTTGATGTGATTCTTAGAACACTATCACCACCTCTCCCCTTCTCAATTTGGTTTTCACAAGTGCCGCAGCACAACGAATGTCCTGGTAAACTTGGAGGTCTATATTCGTACTGCTTTTGCTGCGAAGACCTCCGTTGTTGCCGTTCTTTTTGGCCTGGAAAAGGCTTACGACATTACCTGGCGGTATCATATTCTGTCTCAACTTCATTCTTTTGGCCTTCGTGGGAACCTTCCTCTCTTCCTCCAGAGCTTCCTCTCTCGTCGTTCCTTTCGTGTGCGGCTTGGTACCACTCTCTCTGCCCCTTTTCGGCAGTATGAGGGTGTACCCCAGGGTAGTGTTCTGACCCCTACTCTTTTTCTAGTTGCCCTCAACGGTCTTCTTTCCTCTCTAACCTTCTGGCGTCTTCTCCGCTCTCTATGTTGATGATCTTACCCTTTGCTGTCGGGGTGATGATTCGCCTCTCCTTCAACGCCTGCTTCAACTTGCGATTGATGCCATGTCATCTTGGGCCACCGATCATGGCTTCAAGTTCTCTGCCTCTAAGACTTGTGCTATGACTTTTACTCGGAAGCATGTCGTTCTTCGTCCCTCATTGTCGCTTTATGGTCATCCCATTGTGTACAGGGATTCCGCAAAGCTTTTGGGGTTAGTCTTTGACACTCGTTTGTCTTGGTCAGCCCATATCTCTTATCTCGGAATTGAACGCTCTAAGGCCCTTAACCTCCTTAAGGTTTTGTCCCATACTTCTTGGGGAGCGGATAGGCACATGCTCCTCTATTTGCACTCCTCTCTCGTCCTGTCTAAACTCGATTATGGTTGCCCTGCATACTCTTCTGCTTCTCCTTCTACTCTTCGCCGTCTTGATGCTTTGCACCATACTGGGTTGCGTCTCGGCTCTGGTGCCTTTCGTTCGACTCCCGCCCTCAGTTTGTATGTTGACACTGGCTTTCTCTCTCTACAGGACCGCCGTGATCGCTACTGTCTTCGCTATCTTGCGCGGTCCTTCCAACATCCTTCCTCTCGCCTCTATCGTGCTTTGACTTTTCTTCCTCCTGTAGCTCCTGTTCCTCTGCATCGTCTCCCTCTTTCTGTCCGGTTATCTCACTTACAGGATTCTCTTTCTGTTCATATTTCTAATGTTTCTCCTCATATTGTTCCTTCCTTACCTCCGTGGAGAGTCCCCCTTCCCAAGTTTTGTACGTCCTTGACTTGTATTCCTAAAGCCTTTACCACTCCTACAATTCTGAAAAGCCTCTTCCTTGAGCACTTTTCTTAGCACTCCCACTCTATTTCCATTTTCACCGATTGGTCTAAGTCTGCGGACGGTGTGGGCTACTCTGTTATTTTTCCTGACCGTACTTATATGTGTTGCCTCCCTTCGGAGGCTAGCGTCTTTACGGCAGAATTTTATGCTATTCTCTATGATCTCCGTTTCCTGCTTTCTCATTATCATTCCTCCTTTGTGGTTGTAGTTGACTCTCGTAGTGCCCTCATGGCTGTGGGGTCCTTTAATCCTGTCCATCCAGTGGTCATCGAGATTCAACATTGGCTGTTTCTTATTTCTAGTAAATTTATATCAGTAGAGTTTTGCTGGGTTCCCAGCCATATTGGTGTTTCTTTCAATGAGCGTGCGGATGCTGCCGCTAAAGAAGCTATCCGTTCTCATCCCATCTCCCGTAAAGGTATTCCTTATTCCAACTTTTATCCTCTGTTATTCATTCCTCTATCCTTGCCCGTTGGCAGGGTTGTTGGTCCTCTGTGGTTAGTAACAAGCTGCGTACTCTCAAACGTAGTGTGTCCCCGTGGCCTTCCTCCTGCCACCGTAACCGGCGGTGGGAAACTGCTTTGGCATGGCTGCGGGTTGGCCAAACTCACTTAACCCACGGTCACTTAATGGAGCGCCGCCCTGCTCCTTATCGTTGTCCCTCTTACAGTTGTGAATATCTTTGTTGAATGTCCTGACTTCCAGGACGAGCGTGTGTCTTGCTTTCCGACTGTCCCTCGCGGTCACTTGTCCCTCGGTAGAATTCTTGGTGAATCGGATGCTTTTGATATTGTTCGCCTTGTGCGTTTTTGTTCTCGTATTGGCATTCTTGTTGATATTTAGCGCCCTCTGATTATTCTGCACGTTTGATGGCGCTACATAGCCTTCCCGGTTTGGTGCCTTCTTTTGATAATTACCTTACCTAATAAAATTGTTGTTTGAGAGTAAATTGTTTGCGGTCTGTTAATCATTGTTTTGCTTGTCTGCCATGGCATCCAAGGTCATGCCATATTGGTCTAGTGATTGTGAGAGGTGAGAGCTTAAATGGAGTAATTGGGGGCATTCCATTACCAACAGATCTAGGAAATTGTTGTTACATGAACCTGGCAAGCAGGGGTTTGAGAAGTACAAATAAAGAATTTGAAATGTATTTGCTGTTTTAAGACAGACACTAATAATTGCAAATTCCAATGACAGATTTGGTGTAAAATAGTGAGAAAATCGTTAGATTTTGTAATATATATTGTGAACGTGTAGTTAATGGATGAGAGTACTGCAGGCCGTCCTGCTGCTTAGATAGTACCTAACGATGTGAACCATTGTACAGATATTGACGTAATGGACAGCTAGAAAGTAGAATTTGGCATCACTGAATTTGGACAAACCGGAAAAGGTTTTGTATTTATGTTGTTAATAAAGCCTTACCTAACCATACTAGGCCTAATGCACGCTATCTGAGCCCTAACATAGTACATATGTCTGCTATTCTAGGCCTAGGAATATTTCACTTTTGTCTTTAGCTTTATTTTTTCCCAGACACTATAAAGTGAATAGTACTAAATTCTGCTATCTAATTGTCCATTACTTCAATATATGTACGATAGTGCACATAGTTACACAAAGTACTATCTGAACAGGTGAATGGGTTGAACACTGTTAAGTTTGGCCGAGGCTTCAATGAGGTGGAACCTGTGTGTACGTCTAAGCATATATACTCACCTTTGTACCGGGAGTCACAGGGGATCTGGACCACCTTGATGTTCCAGGACCGGGCCACGTTGGTGCCTGAGCGGTCCACCGTAATCTTCACTGCCCCGCCGGCTGGGTCCACATTGATATACACTGCGGAGGAGGAGTTTGGTTATTGACACCACTGCTGTTGATGCTGACTGCATGCTTCACAAACAATATATATATACAGAAGCTTCCATACCATCAATGTGTGTTCTGGTGCGCACATATACACACGCAGGCAGACATGACTTGTAAATACTCGCAAATGAGCAAGAAATTGTTGGCGAATAAAAAGAGCATCTTCAGGACTGAAGACCATCAGCCGTAGTGAGAGACCAAACACTTCCCTCAAGGCTAAAGTTAAAAGCCAAGTCTTCCTAAGGTTAGTTTTAAGACTTATTATGTTCCAGAAAGATTTAAATGGCCTACCCCACGAAGAAGAGTAATACTGGTAGATAACACGAAATTTGTATAAGAACTATAGTCGATGATTTAAGTTGGTGCTGGAAAATTTAGACACAGTGTGCATTTGATCTAACAAACCAAAGCTTGAGGTTCACATCACCACATCAAAAGCACCACATCTATTCTGTAACAGCAAATATTTAGCTCATTTCGCTACTGGTCAGAATGGCTGTGTGTCTGTCTAATATAGAGATCTCTGGTACAATTATTTTAAATATGTAAAAATACAAGAATTATAATTAGGATGATTGTTAAAAGGTGTAAGAGAAGAGTTGAAGGTCATACTGTGCTGTCCGTCGTTGGAGCCGCAGAGTCTCGGGACGGAGGTGGTCGCCGTGACAGTGAAAAAGTCTTCGTAACAGTTTCCGTGAACGTCCGGCTGAGCCAGCTCGAAGTCCAGGAAGTCGAAACGCATCTGACAGATGTTGGAGTTGACGCGGTTGATGGTGAGGGAGCAGGCGCCCGTGCCGGAGTCCGTGCCGCTGTAGCCGGGGTTGACGAAGTAGGTGTTGTTGTAGTTGGTGGAGCCGTCACACGTCTGGAGACCTGGGAGGGGAGGGAGGAAGTGGCCAACACTACATGTTACGATATGCAGACGAGGAGTCACAATAACGTGGCTGAAGTGTGTTGACCAGACCACACACTAGAAGGTGAAGAGACGACGACGTTTCGGTCCGTCCTGGACCATTCTCAAGTCGATTGTGAGAATGGTCAGGCTACAACACAATCGACTTGAGAATGGTCCAGGACGGACCGAAACGTCGTCGTCCCTTCACCTTCTAATGTGTGGTCTGGTCAACCTACATGTTACGAATTACTCGTCGCTAGACAACTTTCACGTACTGATTGTCAACTGAACAGCGGGAATTGGTGACAATTGCTACAGGCTAGTAGAAGGCATCTTGCAGTCTCCGGATACTATGGAGTCGCTACAAGCTAGTAGAAGGCCTCCTGCAGTCTCAGGATACTATGGAGTCGCTACAGACTAGAAGAAGGTCTCCTGCAGTCTGAGGATACTATGGAGTCGCTACAAGCTAGAAGAAGGTCTCCTGCAGTCTCAGGATACTATGGAGTCGCTACAGGCTAGTAGAAGGCCTCCTGCAGTCTCAGGATACTATGGAGTCGCTACAGGCTAGAAGAAGGTCTCCTGCAGTCTGAGGATACTATGGAGTCGCTACAGGCTAGAAGAAGGTCTCCTGCAGTCTCAGGATACTATGGAGTCGCTACAGGCTAGAAGAAGGCCTCCTGCTGTCTCAGGATACTATGGAGTCGCTACAGGCTTCAACCTCCATTTTAAGTAATTTATTATAGACGATTCACACGAAATAAATCTCACTAGAGCTCCCTTGCTCCGTCTAACTAACGGCACAACGAAGTGCACTCATTATAGGTCACAGTTCTATAAGACATTTGCTTCAGATCATTCACTACGAGTCCCAGAACACGTGACAGTTACTATGGTGGGACGACACACCTACGAGGCAATAGGCAGTGAATAATGATGAGGTCAGTGCACACAAGCCAACTGAGCAAGATCGTATCATACAAGAAGCTCACTACAAGTGTCTCTCTTGTTTAATTCTGCCGGTGAAGAGATGAAGGTGTTGAGAAACTAATCTTTCAAGTGGACGTACGAACTCGTCACATAGCCGCAAGGGAAGGATTGGCAACACATTCTGGTGCCGAAAAGTAAATTTATTTTATGCTGAACAAGCAACATGATAAATGTGATGAGATATTGTGATAATGAGGTGGAAGCAGCGCTCCTCCTGGTGTGGACGGTGTCACCTACGACACCCTTATATTACTACATCCAGTTCGCGGTAATCCACTTATTAACATGTAGAGTAAATAAGTAATACTATATTTATGTACCGAAACATAACAACAAAAACGTATATAAAGAAGAAATGGTTAGGTTTGCCTATATCACATGGCAAACTCTCGAGATTCATGGTTGCAACTAGGCAATATCTCGTCTCAAACAAGAGAAGAACCACTCACATAGTTTCACACATACGTGATGCGTTGAAATAACATAATTAGAGAGCAGCTGGCCAGGCCGTCAGCCTCTACTCGTTCCAAGTGAATGTGGAAGTTATGAAGTTAACGGAAAACAGTTCAGGTTGAAATGAACTGGCTAAGGAAAGAAAATATTTAAATGAACTTGTATGCAACTCCTGCGAGACTTGCTGACCCACTGGCTAATGAAAATAAATTAAAGAAGCATTATAATACGCGCATATTATACAATTTTTAAGTCTTGAGAAAACTAAAGACATGGACGACAAACCAAATTTCCAGTTGTAATTGTAAAATTCTAAAATTAGGATCCTTTTTCTCTTTGTTTTGCAAAAATAGAGTAAAAATTCATGAAACAAAAATAATTTTGCTCTATGTATATGCTCTTGCAGAAACAAGATTGAGGAAAAAACTCCTTGTAAACCTAATCATGCATTTGGCCAAGCAATCCTACCATGCTTTACGGAAATTGAACAAAATCGTTGTCGGAAACAAATCCCGTGTTCCGCTGCCTCCCAGGGAGCCCTTCGGTCAGTTGGCCAAAAACAAATATACACTCTGGTCTCGTCCTGAAGCTACGTGAGCAAACTATAAAACTTCAGCACATAACAAAAAAATAGATACCGTGTGTGTTTGGAGTGTCGAGGAAAGAACTGACCTATGCAACACACTCCGTAGCCTTTGGCGCAGGTGCCCGAGGATCTGCCGCCGCTCTTGGTGCAGTCTTTGGCCGGCATGCAGGTGCCCATGGTCAGGGCGGCGTCCAGCGTCGTACACATGTCCGGCTGTATCTTCAGTAGCACCAGCAACACTGTCGGAAACACAGACACACTTTGTTAGTCAGGGACGTTGGTCAAGAGCCAGGTGCTGCAGTGTGTGAGGGAGACGTTGGTCAAGAGCCAGGTGCTGCTGTGTGTGAGGGAGACGTTGGTCAAGAGCCAGGTGCTGCAGTGTGTGAGGGAGACGTTGGTCAAGAGCCAGGTGCTGCTGTGTGTGAGGGAGACGTTGGTCAAGAGCCAGGTGCTGCAGTGTGTGAGGGAGACGTTGGTCAAGAGCCAGGTGCTGCAGTGTGTGAGGGAGACGTTGGTCAAGAGCCAGGTGCTGCAGTGTGTGAGGCAACAGAAGAATTAGGATAACAAGAGCACTGTCTAGTGATGACGAATATGGGGAACCAATCACAGCCCAAGAAGTAAGGGGCGCTATGAAAAAGGGTAAAAGTACAGCACCTGGTGAAGATGGCGTCACCTACGACATACTCAATGCACTGTGTGAAGTGTCTGGGAATCCACTACTCCACCTGTTTAACAAGTCATTCCTAAGTGGAGTGTTGCCCACACAATGGAAACACGCAATAATTATTCCCATACCGAAGCCTAATGACCCTGGTAATTACAGACCTATCAGCCTCGTGTCATGCACTTGCAAGATGCTTGAAAGGATCATCCTAAACCGACTGTTGCACAAAATAGGCAGGTTAGGGGAGGGGTCAATGGATTTGTTAAAGGACGGAGCACAGCAAATTGTATAGTTAATTACTTGGCTAATGACACGGCTAGGTACTCTGTATTTGTTGACATCAAAGGAGCCTTCGACAAAGCACAGGGGATTGCGATCCTGGACGAGCTTGCATGCATGGGTGTCAAGGGGAGACTCATGAAATGGGTTGAAGACTACCTCACAGGAAGGAAAGCCAAGGTTTGCTTCAATGGAGCAGTCTCCAGAACAATGAATATGGAACTCGGGACCCCCCAAGGCGGAGTCTTAAGCCCTACACTATTCAATGTACTTATGAACGCCATTGCAAATATTGATTTTCCGGAAGGAACACAACAAGTGGGATATGCAGATGATGTCCTAATACAAGCTCCCACCTTGGGAAAAATTGAACAGTCCATTGAACTCCTCGGAAGGAAATGTATTGAGCTCGGTTTCACTCTCTCCACAAACAAGACGAAGGCATACTCCCATCACAAGCGGAGAGCAAATGAAGAACTGCAATTTAATGGTGTAACACTTGAATGGGTTGACCACTATCGGTACCTTGGCGTCACTGTCGGCTCTAACAAGGGAAAGAAAGAGGAGCTCAACCAACTCATAGGAACATGCAAAAGTCGACTCAGGGCACTGAAAGCTATGACCTGGAATGGACATGGAGCCTCTATTGCCGTGCTCAAAATGATGTACACAGCCTATGTGCGCTCCGTCATAGACTATGCCGCACCAGTACTGTGCACCTACTCCCAAAGCGATATGAAAAGGCTTGAAAGCATTCAAAATGAAGCCATGACAATCATTCTTGGAGTCCCAAGAACTGCCAAAACGTCTAATCTACGAGAGGAGTTGTCCCTTCCCAGTATTAAAAGCAGAATTCAGGAGCTGAATGCTAAGCTTGCAATTAGGATAGTCAGAGATCCCCATTACAATGATATTGCCAAGAAAAAACTGAGCTCTGTGCTACTTTCAGGGGGAAACAGGAGAAGCAAAAAATGGCATCACAGAGCAGTCTGCTACCTTGAAGAGCTTCACCTGCTTGAGCAAGCCCGTGAGCTCCTGCCTGTAGAGAGGTCACCTCCCTGGGAGGATGACTCGTGCAAGATCATCATCAATGAAATGGCAATGAAAAAATCCAACATGATACCACAAGAAATGAGGCACAAGTATCTCGAGGACATTTATAAAGAAGCCGGAGATGAATTAGATCAAATCTACACTGACGGGTCATCTAATCCTATCAATGGCAGGGCTGGTGCAGCATACACGGTAATCAAGGATAATACCTTCCAACGCAGAAATGAAGAAAAAGCACGTATTGAGAACTATGCCTCTTCAACGCAAGCAGAGCTAACTGCCATTGTTATGGCGTTAAGGTTTCTTGAACGGAACACTAATGGTGCAGTGATTTGCACCGATTCAAAAGCAGCACTGCAAAGCCTAAGTAAAAATCAGGCAGAAAATCTTGCAATAGTCGCTGAAATCAAGAGAGCTGTGAGAGTACTTACCAACCAGGGAAGAGTCATCAAGTTTCTGTGGATCCCCTCCCATGTTGGAATATGTGGGAATGAACGAGCAGATGTGCTGGCTGCTGAAGGCGCTGAAGGAGACCATATTGAATACTTCATACCCAAGACTCAACTACAAATTAGAGGTATTATCAGGCAACATCACCGTGACAAGGTAACTGAGGAAAGGAGGATAGAAGCACAAACCAGTGAATCTGTACGATGGTACAACATGGTTGCAGCTGGCAATCCCAATCAGTATGGCCGAAGAGGAGGACGACGAGGGAGAGAATCTGTAATAGTGAGAATCCGTCTTGGATACAAATATCCATGGAGATTTGGAATGGAAACAACAGTTGATCAGCGAAGTTGCAGCATCTGTGGTGAGAGTGATGGACACCGCCTTGACCACTATCTACGTGAATGTGAACACCTGAGAGACATTAGGAATAACTGTAGAATAATAAACCCCACATTGTTTGAGTTAGGAAAACACTTTTTGTCAAATGTTGATACTGTTCTTAAAAGATTTCCCAATTTTGCACCCGCAAGATAACGTAAGCTTTTAAGGGTTGATAAATGTTAATCTTCTTGTTTGAGGAGCTGTTCACTTGAGACAGTTAAGCAAGTCCCAGCTGTGTCTGGGTACAAGTGACAGGATGAACAACCCAGCGGGTTTTCTTCCTATTGGGGAGTGTTGTACATTCTGCTATGGCGGTATGTTCACTCACAAGATGAGTGGCGCTGCCCAATAAACTCGCCCCTCGGGGCAAAATTAAAAATTAAAATCAGCGGCATATGCCAGGTTGGCTAACATAAGAACGGCCTTTACAAACTTGTGTAAGGAATGTTGCAGAACTTTGTATACCACATATGTCAGACCAATCCTGGAGTATGCGGCTCCAGCATGGAGTCTATATCTAGCCAAGCATAAGACTAAACGGGAAAAGGTTCAAAGGTTTGCCACCAGACTAGTACCCGAACTGAGGGGTATGAGCTACAAGGAGAGACTAGGGGAATTAAACCTCACGTCACTGGGAGACAGAAGAGTTAGAGGAGACATGATCACCACATACAAAATTCTCAGAGGAATTGATAGGGTAGATAAAGACAGACTATTTAACACAAGGGGCACACGCACTAGGGGACACAGGTGGAAACTGAGTGCCAAAATGAGCCATAAAGACGTTAGATAGAACTTTTTCAGTGTCAGAGTAGTAGACAGATGGAATGCATTAGGAAGTGACGTGGAAGTGATAATTTTTCAATAAAATACCATGGTTTACAAATTTAAATACATGAAAATAGTTTTATATCCCTAAATGACCATTTCCAAAGCACTTTTTACTGTTAGGTAGGGTGATGGCCTCACTTCTTGCAGGTCGGCGTTCGATCCCCGATAGTTCAAGCGGTGAGGCACTGTTCCTCCCTATTCCAGCTCGTCTTCATATCCCTTCCAAGTGCTATATAACCTCACTGGCTTTTTCTTCTTTCTTGATAATTACCTAAACCGGAATGTCCTATATAGACATAGTCTTGACGTCACAGTGTTAACAAAAGAGCCTCAGCTCTCATAATGGTTTGATATCGCAGGACGAACTTGACTGTGATGTACCGTGACCTCAGAGAACGTGGCCTGAAACTCCCCCCCCCCCAACCCCCCTGCAATACCGGAGAGCCTGACCTTTTTCGTCCCTCTCACTGTGGGTAAGAGCGATCTGATTCTCCTGTTGGATGTCTTGAAAGACGTTCCCTCCCTGAGGCCAGTGTTGAGGGTCTGAGGGCGCTGCCAGGGCGACACCGGCCAGTACTACCACCGTCCAGGTCAGTCTGGCGTTGTCCCCTCGTGTCTGTGGGCATAATTGATCACATATTACGTCCAGGAAGAGAAGAGGTAGAGGTGTACATGGGTTATTCTTGTGTACTGCCATCGCAACAGAGAGGTTGGAGTCAGACGCATGCAAGGGGGCTGCAATTCCAAGCTGAATGAGGGATTTAGAATGGTGTGAGATGCGTTTCTTTTTGTTGTTTTCTACCACAGACGTGGCCACACATTTATAATGCTAACCAGCATATATACATTTGTTTCTGTTTTCCATATAGGGTTAGAGATCTGTTAAACATAGTGTTCAGTGATTTATTGAACAATCAACCACAGGTGATTGCAGTGCTAAGTTAAGCTAACCTACAAACATACACAGAATTACGTCTGTTCTAAATTATCAGTGTTCGGGGTGTCTTTTTACATAGCGTCAAAGAGTTTACATAGCGTTTACAAAGGAGAAATGCAATTCTGATCAGCTTCCACATACTCTGTATACAAATACACACACATATACTTACACATATCTACATATATATATATATATATATATATATATATATATATATATATATATATATATATATATATATATATATATATATATATATATATATATATATACCCCTATGTCTCTCCTACTTTAACAGGATAAGATAGCTGCTATAGAAACTAGTGTGATATCAAACACTTAAACACTGCAGGTGATTAAGATGCTTTTGCAAGCTCAGGTTATAGGTACATACATTGCATAACAGATGTATTATATATTGTATAGGGTTTGAGGTAGGTTCGGGTTGTGTTGGTGGGGGCGGGGGTGAGTGAGTTATTAGGGGAAAGCCCCAAGCCATTACTACTATATAGCACTGGGAAGGGGTCAGGATAAGGATTTGGGATGAGACGGTGGAAGGAATGGTGCCCAACCACTTGTGGACGGTCGGGGATTAAACGCCGACCAGCATGAAGCGAGACCGTCGCTCTACCGTCCAGCCCAAGTGGTTGGCCCGGGGGGGGGGGTAGAAAGGAAGGGATCGAGGACTCTGGTTTGTGACGAAGAAAAGTTGACTAGTTCAGTGGTTACTGGAAAAGAAATAATTAATCAAATATAAAAAATAATGTTAAATAAATCATCAGGGCCAGACGAAGCTTTCCAAGTTATTGAGTTAAAAGCAGTCCCCGTGGTGGCATGGTTAGACACTCGCCCTGCGCTTCGCGAGCACTTTGGCCTGGGTTCGTATCCCACTTCGTACTAGCGCCGTGGGACCTCCTGTATATAGTTTGCATAGTTTTATCATGACGATCTTGATTAACAGAAAGTTAATCGCCCTGTGTATTAGTAAGTTTAACGAATACCTCTATCATTAATAACAGAGATTTTCCATCAGCATTTCCCTAAGTACTTTCCCTACACTTATTTCTGTTTAATTACCGGGTTCCGGCTCTGAGTATCCGGGATTGACCCGACAAGTTTTGTATACAAGGTTGTGAATGAGTCCTTACACAAGTTTCTAAAAGGTAGTTCATGTGTTGGCCAACCCAGTAGCTGCCTCTCATATTCTTTTAATGTGGGCTTCAGGGGACAGGTTCGTGTGACATCATCCCCCAGGTCTTTCTACTTGATTCTGTGGGGAACCGACTTATGAGATTTATATTTATTTAATTTATATGAATTTATATAGAATTTATATTTACGTTAATTTATATATTTCGATAGCAATTTGTAAGATGTTTAGTGGACTGTATTTCTGCAGTATTCTCATATGTCGACTCCTTGCACATTAGTGGGGTTTATATTAAATTATATATATATATATATATATATATATATATATATATATATATATATATATATATATATATATATATATATATATATATATATATTTTGGTAGCAGTCTTTCCTGTAGACATATATTATTAAATATGACCGAAAAAGTAAGATTAATAATTCTAACACGAATTTTCTCAATCTTTCGTACATTACGCTTCACTGTTGGAGGTAAATCAAAAATCAATTCTCCAAAATTCATTTTTATTTCTAGTCTGACGCGACACGGGCGCGTTTCGTAAAACTTATTACATTTTCAAAGACTTTAGTTCACAAATACACAACTGATTAGAACTTACGTATCTCCGATTTTATATCTACATTTGAGTGAGGTGGGAGGGGTGATGTGGCATTAACACAAGACAGAACAAGAGGGGATATTAATAGGGTATTAAAAGTATCAACACAAGACAGAACACAAACAATGGGTATTGAATAGAAGTGTTTGTAGAAAGCCTATTGGTCCATATTTCTTGATGCTTCTATATTGGAGCGGAGTCTTGAGGTGGGTAGAATATAGTTGTGCAATAATTGGCTGTTGATTGCTGGTGTTGACTTCTTGATGTGTAGTGCCTCGCAAACGTCAAGCCGCCTGCTATCGCTGTATCTATCGATGATTTCTGTGTTGTTTACTAGGATTTCTCTGGCGATGGTTTGGTTGTGGGAAGAGATTATATGTTCCTTAATGGAGCCCTGTTGCTTATGCATCGTTAAACGCCTAGAAAGAGATATTGTTGTCTTGCCTATATACTGGGTTTTTTGGAGCTTACAGTCCCCAAGTGGGCATTTGAAGGCATAGACGACGTTAGTCTCTTTTAAAGCGTTCTGTTTTGTGTCTGGAGAGTTTCTCATGAGTAGGCTGGCCGTTTTTCTGGTTTTATAGTAAATCGTCAGTTGTATCCTCTGATTTTTGTCTGTAGGGATAACGTTTCTATTAACAATATCTTTCAGGACCCTTTCCTCCGTTTTATGAGCTGTGGAAAAGAAGTTCCTGTAAAATAGTCTAATAGGGGGTATAGGTGTTGTGTTAGTTGTCTCTTCAGAGGTTGCATGGCTTTTCACTTTCCTTCTTATGATGTCTTCGATGAAACCATTGGAGAAGCCGTTATTGACTAGGGTATTGATTAGAACTCTGTAGGGTAAGGCAGGTCCTAGTCAATAACGGCTTCTCCAATGGTTTCATCGAAGACATCATAAGAAGGAAAGTGAAAAGCCATGCAAGTTAATTCAAATGAGATGTTTTTATGATGTTAAAAATCCAAAGACTTGTATTAATAATAATTCCCAACAGAATAGCTGGTGAATTAATAGCGCTATGTGGCAATGATATCTCGTTTTCTATTGATAGAAAATTCCACTGCACCACGTCTTCTATGAGTGAATTTATATATACAACTCAGCAGCAATTTTATCTGCCTATTGTATTGAATATTTGTAAATGGTGTCGGGTTTTCCGACAGATTCCTCAAGTACTTCATCTTCCAACTGGTACTTTGTATCCCGCCTCTTGCTCTGCCCTGCGCCTATTGTTATAGTTTTGTGCTTATTTGGGTTAAACTCTAGTAGCTATTTGTCAGACCTTTCTTTCAGTTTGTCCAGGTCATCTTGTAATCTCTTGTTATCTTCCTGGCTTAAGCCTCATAATTTTAGCGTCGTCACTTAGCATTAGCAGTGTGTGTGTGTGTGTGTGTGTTTATGTGTGTGTGTGTGTGTGTGTGTGTGTGTGTGTGTGTGTGTGTGTGTGTGTGTGTGTGTGTGTGTGTGTGTGTGTGTGTGTGTATTCACCTAGTTGTTCTTGCGGGGATTGAGTTCTGCTCTTTCGGCCCGCCTCTCATCTGTCAATCAGTCAACTGTAACTACTAACTAATGTTTTTTTTTTCACACAGACACCCTCCCCCCCCCCAGGAAGCTGCACCGTAACAGCTGTCTAACTCCCAGGTACCTATTTACTGTTAGGTAACAGGAACATCAGGGTGAAAGAAACTTTGCCCATTTGTTTCTGCCTGGTCCGGGAATCGAACCCGGGCCACAGAATTACGAGTCCTGTGTGCTGTCCGCTCAGCTACCAGACCCGCTGCCTCTCCCCTGTGTGTCAGCCTAACGATACGCAATGAGAGAGAGAGAGAGAGAGAGAGAGAGAGAGAGAGAGAGAGAGAGAGAGAGAGAGAGAGAGAGAGAGAGAGAGAGAGAGAGAGAGAGAGAGAGAGAGAGAAAGAAGCACGCACGCATACAGGCGTGAATCCACACACATGACCATGACGCGGTTTGGTTGTCTGGGGCGTGTGTGTGTGTGTGTGTGTGTGTGTGTGTGTGTGTGTGTGTGTGTGTGTGTGTGGGAACACCCAGCACATAGGTTCGAATCCTCCCCACTGCTCCTACGGATTTTGTGGTGGAGGCTGACTCCACACACAGTTTCAAGTGTAGATATGATAGAGCCCAGTAGGCTCAGGAACCTGTACACCAGTTGATTGACGGTTGAGAGGCGGGACCAAAGAGCCAGAGCTCAACCCCCGCAACACACACACACACACACACACACACACACACACACACACACACATCCCTCCCTCTCATAATCCCCATTCCACCTGCCCGAGCAACATTTGCCCCATCATCTCCCCATTTTGACCTTGTAATCCCGGGCTCTTCCTTTCCACACAGCGACTCTTGGCGTAAATTAACTCCGTCAAATTAAAACATGGTGGACTGTAACTCCGGGAAGCAGCAGCTCTCGATAAACACGAGGTTACTGCCGGAACTGTGAGTCAACTTTTGGATTGCATCATTAATGTTGAGATTTTATCATTGTTAATGAGTTTCAGTTGTGTTGCTATATATTATGTATCATTGGGTATTGCGTTCGACTCCTCCATTACATTATGTATCACCGAGTATTGCTATATATTATGTATCACCGAGTATTGCTATATATTATGTATCACCGGGTATTTGAATTGTTCAGAAGATACATTTGATCAAATTACTTTATCAATTAGGCTTAAAGTCAAAGATGCAGTGGTTTAGCTGTGTCGTTTAATACACAATCAACATCTTGATTAAAAAATTGATTGTAAGCTCGTGTTTGAATACAATTCTCGACAATTAATGGTCTTTTACAAATACAACAATAAGCAAAAGATTCAATCATCTAATAAATACATTTATATACAAATATACCAACATGTATGAATATTTACATGCATACATATTCATCGTTGAATAGGGAGATTCTCGTAAAAAATATAATTTCTGTTTTCGCCTTCTTTATGTGTGGGTACGAAGTACGGCTTCGTAGGTGTGGGTACGAAGTACGGCTTCGTAGGTGTGGGTGCGAAGTACGGCTTCGTAGGTGTGGGTGCGAAGTACGGCTTCGTAGGTGTGGGTGCGAAGTACGGCTTCGTAGGTGTGGGTGCGAAGTACGGCTTCGTAGGTGTAAGTGCGAAGTACGGCTTCGTAGGTGTGGGTACGAAGTACGGCTTCGTAGGTGTGGGTGCGAAGTACGGCTTCGTAGGTGTGGGTACGAAGTACGGCTTCGTAGGTGTGGGTGCGAAGTACGGCTTCGTAGGTGTGGGTGCGAAGTACGGCTTCGTAGGTGTGGGTACGAAGTACGGCTTCGTAGGTGTGGGTGCGAAGTACGGCTTCGTAGGTGTGGGTGCGAAGTACGGCTTCGTAGGTGTGGGTGCGAAGTACGGCTTCGTAGGTGTGGGTGCGAAGTACGGCTTCGTAGGTGTGGGTGCGAAGTACGCCTTCGTGCGTGTGGGTACGAGTGCATTCTCCAATTCCCAATTGATTTAACTTTAATTTGTATGACATCTGAAATTTTCACAACAGTTTCACGAACCTTTAGTGAGGTTGTGACACGTAATGAAGGATTGTAGTTGTGAGATTGTGTTGTCTTTTGACTTCCATTTAAGAAAATACATAATTAATACATTTGGGATATTTATTGCAATATAGATTTCTACTAAGTTTATTAATGTGATCATTTAAACTGTTAGAAAATCGACAGCTTATGTATGTCTCAACGCAAGTGTCATATATTTTGTTCTGCATTTTCTATATAAACACCCATCACATTTAAAGTGATAAATTAGCTAATATGATGTTGTTATCCTTGGGAGGACAGTCAAATCTCAGACTGTATCACTTTCAGAACAGCTTCGACTCCAAATGACAGGGTTTTCAACGTTTTCTAATGGACTCTTGGAGAACCCTGTCCCGGTTGTACACTTTCGACTTCTTCTATTGTAAGTGTGGATCATAGATGACCTCCAAGAATCCGTTCAGGTATCCGTCAAGGAATCCGTCCAGGTATCCGTCCAGGGGTCCGTCCAGGGATCCGTCCTAGAATCCGTCCATGAATCCGTCCAGGAATCCATCTTGGAATCCGTCCAGGAATCCATCTTGGAATCCGTCTAGGAATCCGTCCAGGAATCCGTCCTGTTTTGTGGGCATTTTCTAGTCAGTAAAATGTTGATGTCTTCTTTTCACTGTACGAACTATTTTCACATTGCTTCACATACGAAATTAATGTTCTTTTACAAATAAATACGTGTTGGGTGTTGTCTACTTTGTTCTTCACTTAGGTGACACCTTGACGATGCATTGTGTCTCAACTTAAATGGATCTATACGAAACGTTAGAGTCAATAGATAGTGATTGCAGCTTACGTGAGAGTCCTAAAATGCTGTTTCAATTTCTCTTGGTCGTAATAGTCAAAATCTACTCAATCCGGATGTGGATGAATGTCATCTGACTCTATTGGACACTACCAAAGGTTAAATGTTACAGCTGGTGGCAAGCGGTCAGGAAGAAAGGCACTATTTACACCCAAAAGTAGCATTATAAATTATAGCTGCCATCAGAGGTTCATATGATAGCTGCCATCCAAAGGTTCATATGAAATACACAAATCCTAATTTCCATGAGACTCCTGGTAAATTATGCTGTGTTTTACATTCATTTCTCCCCCTTATCTCACATGCCACTTGCCTTTACAATGCTCGTGGGACTTGGTACTTGGTCTCTCAAATTAAAATGACCTTACAGAAGACGGATCTGTCACTCCATTGTGATTTCACATGGACACTAGCGAATTTTTTTTATCTTTTCAGTTTATTGTCACGTCAAACATGCCTCTCAAACCTACCTTCATGGTGTCTTCTATGCTCGTCTGTCCAGTGTTCCAGGCACCTGCAAATCACCTTGTTAAATGACCGTATAGACCCGTTGACGGCTCTTTTTATATACTCTAGCTCGCTGGTAAACAGAACCGTAGCAGTGTATGGGTGTCAGCTGCCCTCCAGGCGGCGCTGTGCATCACATCCCGCGGCCTGTGGACACAGAGCGCCAGGCACGTGCATCGGCTGCCTTCCCGGCCTCCTGCCTTCCCCAGCTGCCTTCCCCCAAGCCTCCTGACCCCTCCAGGACCTCGCAAATAACACCTCGCCTCTTTACCGAATGCTAACCGACGCTTCAGAAAAGTAACGGCTCACATATATCTACTAATCCCCGTGCATCAGACTCGCTGGGATGGGATGGTTGATGGGGCTCGTAGGTTTGTGATTAGAGTGAAAAGGTTGGATTTTGTAGGTTGGGGAGGGCAGGGCAAGAGAACGTGTTGGGTGTACACCACTTGCCTCCCTCCCTCCCCTCCCACACATGGAGTAATGAAGAGGAAAAGTTGGTGTGATGAAGTGGCCATCTCTGTTACCATTGGTGAGTATTGTGGGCATCTCTGTTACCATTGGTGAGTATTGTGGGCATCTCTGTTACCATTGGTGAGTATTGTGGGCATCTCTGTTACCATTGGTGAGTATTGTACCGCTGCTGCTCCTGTTGCTGTTGTTGCTACTGTTGTGGCTCCTGTTGCTGTTGTTGCTACTGTTGTGGCTCCTGTTGCTGTTGTTGCTCCTGTTGCTGTTGTTGCTACTGTTGTTGCTCCTGCTACTGTTGTTGCTGCTGTTCCTGCTACTGTTGTGGCTCCTGTTGCTGTTGTTGCTCCTGCTACTGTTGTTGCTACTGTTGTTGCTGCTCCTGCTACTGTTGTTGCTGGTGCTCCTGCTACTGTTGTTGCTGATGCTCTGCTACTGTTGTTGTTGATGCTCTGCTACTGTTGTTGCTGGTGCTACTGTTGTTGCTGCTGCTCCTGCTACTATTGTTGCTGCTGCTCCTGCTACTGTTGTTGCTCCTGCTGCTGTTGTTGCTCCTGCTCCTGCTACTGTTGTTGATGCTGCTCCTGCTTCTGTTGTTGCTGCTGCTCCTGCTACTATTGTTGCTGTTGCTACTGTTGTTGCTGCTGATACTGTTGTTGCTCCTGCTACTGTTGTGGCTCCTCCTACTGTTGTTACTGCTGCTGCTGCTACTGTTGTTGCTCCTGCTGCTGTTGTTGCTGCTGCTTCTGCTACTGTTGTTGCTGCTGCTCCTGCTGCTGTTGTTGCTGCTGCTCCTGCTGCTGTTGTTGCTGCTGCTCCTGCTACTGTTGTTGCTCCTGCTACTGTTGTTGCTGCTGCTCCTGCTGCTGTTGTTGCTCCTGCTACTGTTGTTGCTGCTGCTCCTGCTACTGTTGTTGATGCTGCTCCTGCTACTGTTGTTGCTGCTGCTCCTGCTACTGTTGTTGCTGCTGCTCCTGCTACTGTTGTTGATGCTGCTCCTGCTACTGTTGTTGATGCTGCTCCTGCTACTGTTGTTGCTGCTGCTCCTGCTACTGTTGTTGCTGTTGCTACTGTTGTTGCTGCTGATACTGTTGTTGCTGCTGCTACTGTTGCTGCTGCTGCTACTGTTGTTGCTGCTGCTACTGTTGTTGTTGCTGCTACTGTTGTTGCTGCTGCTACTGTTGTTGCTCCTGCTACTGTTGTTGCTGCTGCTCCTGCTACTGTTGTTGCTCCTGCAACTGTTGTTGCTCCTGCTACTGTTGTTGCTGCTGGTCCTGCTACTGTTGTTGCTACTGTGTTTGCTCCTGCTACTGTTGTTGCTGGTGCTACTGTTGTTGCTGCTGCTCCTGCTGCTGTTGTTGCTGCTGCTTCTGCTACTGTTGTTGCTGCTGCTCCTGCTGCTGTTGTTGCTCCTGCTCCTGCTACTGTTGTTGATGCTGCTCCTGCTTCTGTTGTTGCTGCTGCTCCTGCTACTATTGTTGCTGTTGCTACTGTTGTTGCTGCTGATACTGTTGTTGCTCCTGCTACTGTTGTGGCTCCTCCTACTGTTGTTACTGCTGCTGCTGCTACTGTTGTTGCTCCTGCTGCTGTTGTTGCTGCTGCTTCTGCTACTGTTGTTGCTGCTGCTCCTGCTGCTGTTGTTGCTGCTGCTCCTGCTGCTGTTGTTGCTGCTGCTCCTGCTACTATTGTTGCTGCTGCTCCTGCTACTGTTGTTGATGCTGCTCCTGCTACTGTTGTTGCTGCTACTCCTGCTGCTGTTGTTGCTGCTACTCCTGCTGCTGTTGTTGCTGCTGCTCCTGCTACTGTTGTTGATGCTGCTCCTGCTACTGTTGTTGCTGCTGCTCCTGCTACTGTTGTTGCTGCTGCTCCTGCTACTGTTGTTGATGCTGCTCCTGCTACTGTTGTTGATGCTGCTCCTGCTACTGTTGTTGCTGCTGCTCCTGCTACTGTTGTTGCTGTTGCTACTGTTGTTGCTGCTGATACTGTTGTTGCTGCTGCTACTGTTGTTGCTGCTGCTACTGTTGTTGCTGCTGCTACTGTTGTTGTTGCTGCTACTGTTGTTGCTGCTGCTACTGTTGTTGCTCCTGCTACTGTTGTTGCTGCTGCTCCTGCTACTGTTGTTGCTCCTGCAACTGTTGTTGCTCCTGCTACTGTTGTTGCTGCTGGTCCTGCTACTGTTGTTGCTACTGTGTTTGCTCCTGCTACTGTTGTTGCTGCTGGTCCTGCTACTGTGTTTGCTCCTGCTACTGTTGTTGCTGCTGGTCCTGCTACTGTTGTTGCTCCTGCTACTGTTGTTGCTGCTGCTCCTACTACTGTGTTTGCTCCTGCTACTGTTGTTGCTGCTGCTCCTGCTACTGTTGTTGCTGCTCCTGCTACTGTTGTTGCTGCTGCTCCTGCTACTGTTGTTGCTCCTGCTGCTGTTGTTGCTGCTGCTACTGTTTTTGCTCCTGCTACTGTTGTTGCTGCTGCTCCTGCTACTGTTGTTGCTGCTGCTACTGTTTTTGCTCCTGCTACTGTTGTTGCTGCTGCTACTGTTTTTGCTCCTGCTACTGTTGTTGCTGCTGCTGCTCCTGCTACTGTTGTTGCTGCTGCTACTGTTTTTGCTCCTGCTACTGTTGTTGCTGCTGCCCCTGCTACTGTTGTTGCTGCTTCTGCTACTGTTGTTGCTCCTGCTACTGTTTTTGCTGCTGCTACTGTTGTTGCTGCTGCTACTGTTGTTGCTGCTGCTACTGTTGTTGCTGCTGCTCCTGCTACTGTTGTTGTTCCTGCTCCTGTTGTTGCTGCTGCCCCTGCTACTGTTGTTGCTCCTGCTACTGTTGTTGCTCCTGCTGCTGTTGTTGCTGCTGCTACTGTTGTTCCTGCTGCTCCTGCTACTGTTGTTGCTGCTGCTCCTGCTACTGTTGTTGCTGCTGCTCCTGCTACTGTTGTTGCTGCTGCTCCTGCTACTGTTCTTGCTGCTGCTCCTGCTACTGTTCTTGCTGCTGCTCCTGCTACTGTTGTTGCTGCTGCTCCTACTACTGTTCTTGCTGCTGCTCCTGCTACTGTTCTTGCTGCTGCTCCTGCTACTGTTGTTGCTGCTGCTCCTGCTACTGTTGTTGCTGCTGCTACTGTTGTTGCTGCTGCTGCTGTTGTTGCTGCTGCTCCTGCTACTGTTGTTGTTCCTGCTACTGTTGTTGCTGCTGCTCCTGCTACTGTTGTTGCTACTGCTACTGTTATTGCTGCTGCTCCTGCTACTGTTGTTGTTCCTGCTACTGTTGTTGTTGCTGCTCCTGCTACAGTTGTTGCTGATGCTACTGTTGTTGCTGCTGCTGCTGTTGTTGCTGCTGCTCCTGCTACTGTTGTTGTTCCTGCTACTGTTGTTGCTGCTGCTCCTGCTGCTGTTGTTGCTGCTGCTACTGTTGTTGCTCCTGCTACTGTTTTTGCTCCTGCTACTGTTGTTGCTGCTGCTGCTGTTGTTGCTGCTGCTCCTGCTACTGTTGTTGCTCCTGCTACTGTTGTTGCTGCTGCTCCTGCTACTGTTGTTGCTGCTGCTCCTGCTACTGTTGTTGCTGCTGCTCCTGCTACTGTTGTTGCTGCTGCTACTGTTATTGCTGCTGCTCCTGCTGCTGTTGTTGCTGCTGCTACTGTTGTTGCTGCTGCTCCTGCTACTGTTGTTGCTGCTGCTACTGTTGTTGCTGCTGCTACTGTTGTTGCTCTGCTACTGTTGATTCTGTTCGTGCTATTGTTGTTGCTCATACTCCTGCTACTGTTGTTGCTGCTGCTACTGTTGTTGCTGCTGCTACTGTTGTTGCTGCTTCTCCTGCTACTGTTGTTGCTGCTGCTACTGTTGTTGCTGCTGCTACTGTTGTTGCTGCTGCTCCTGCTACTGTTGTTGCTGCTGCTACTGTTGTTGCTGCTGCTACTGTTGTTGCTGCTGCTACTGTTGTTGCTCTGCTACTGTTGATTCTGTTCGTGCTATTGTTGTTGCTCATACTCCTGCTACTGTTGTTGCTTCTGCTACTTTTGTTGCTCCTGCTACTATTACTATTGTTCCTGCTGCTGCTGCTACTGTTCTTGCCATATCCAACTTATGGTCAATAGTAGATTCCATACCTATCCCATGGGCTGTAGAGAACCTTATATCCCTCCCGTTGGCGGTAGTGGACCCCATTCTTATCCTGTGGGCAGTGATACACCCCATACTCATCCCTTGGGCTGTTGATAACCATATATCATAGTAGTAGACCCCCCATTCTTATCCTGTGGGCGGTAGTAAACCCCCATACTCATCGTCTGGGGGGTAGTGGACCCCATACCCTCCTCTGGGCGATAGTGAACCTTATGTCTATCCAATGGACGGTATTGGACCCCCATACCCATTCTTTGGGCATTTGTGAACACCATACCCATCCTTTGGGTGATAGTGGACCCCATACCCATCCTTTGGGTGATAGTGGACCCCATACCCATCCTTTGGGTGATAGTGGACCCCATACCCAAACATATTATGTCGGCGATACTG